TAAACAAATACGATTTTTATGCAGACTATTGGAGCAACCAAGACTATAAGCCATATTAAAGCGTATATAGATGTAAAACTTCACAAAACAAAAATATAAACGTTCAGAAATAATGGTTCGACGAATAAATAACACAGTTTAATATTGTCAGTTAATCCACCTCGGAATCTACTCCACTCCTCGATAGTGAAACGTCGACATAATTCTGTATATTCTTGATGGATTTCTTTCAAAAAGCCCCCAGAAGAAAAAGCGTGATTAAAAGAACAATTTGACGTTCACTTTATACACTTACGAAGACTATAAGACCGTTAAAATAGCGAAAATGTATGCACGTATTGCTTCGTATATAGATCAGTGGCAATTTCCATTTTGCGACTATCCATGGAGAAGGAGACGGAGAAGGAGACCAAATTCACCCGAAACCTATAGTTGCTGGCACAGGTGCCCCAGCAACTAATGAATGACATGTAAATAAATAGAATATATACCCTTTTTATATAATCCAAATATTGTAAACAAATTGTAAATTAGCGTAACTGCTACTAAATGTGTCAAGATCACAAGGAGCGTGATTTTTCATGCTGTTGTATTTTTTCTGATTTTCATTAATTAACTACAAAATTCTTGAGGATGTTTTTGCACTGTAACGACGAAGTAGTAATTATTGTATCGTACGGATGCTTGTTTGGCCTATATACAGTAGTTGAACTTTTAAAAAAAATATTGGGGATAATGTTTTTGATGACTTCGATGAAGGGAAATTTTCAAAACAGCATTTGGGCATGTTATCAAGTCGTCCATGCTTCTAAAGTCAGTTCATGGTAAAGATTATAATGATGTGCTTATCTCCAAAACTTTTCATAAACTTCGGAGTTGAGCGTTTGAATACACAGCGTTGGAAAGTGATGTATTTTTGTATGTTAAAGTTTGCCGCGTTATGTTAGACCATTATTTCTCTGCAAAAAAGGTACTAAACGTTAACATTAACAATTGTATTTTAGCCATGTCATGATTAAGGCATTCAATTGAAGTAATTCTGAGCTGTAAACATATTTTACTTCTTGGCCATTTAATCAAAATACGACTCGTCCCAACTTAGCTTTGAAACTTTCTTATCTTTAAAATTAGAATTAGTGTTAGTATTAGCGCATGGCCCATGGTTAGCATTAGGATTACTTACTGCAATAATTCCTAATAAATTATTAATTTGTTTCTAAGGTGGTATGTGCAGTCAACCTGAGCAAGAGACTGGCTGTCTGTTCAGTGCCAGTTGTGGTATTAGGAAACGTTTATTGAAGTTTTATGTTTTCGTAGTGTAAATTTCTAGTTGTAATTTATGTGTTGGGTTTGTCTTGTTGGGACTTCCAGTCCGTTCGCCGATCCCATATCTAACTCGCCTTTGTTTGTTGTTGTATAATCATTATGCCTTTAGTTTCGTTCTCACGTAGTATTGTAAATTTGATTAAAGCTTATTATTATTACGACTTCTCGTAAGGATTCGTTAATAAAAATTCTAGTTGAGCGTTTCTTGACTTTCAATTGAAAAATTTTCAATTTTGGGATGACAGTAATTGGCCTGCAGCAGTTGTGATTTCCAATCACATTTCTAATGTTATATATAGCCATTATTGTTATTTGTCATGCATGTATTCTTGTTGTGACAACTGACAAAGCTTGTAAAATTAAAATTCAATGTGAGTTGTATTCTATCGAACGTGAATGATACATGTACATACGAAGAGTTTTAATCTCGTGCCCAAGGCAAAATGGAAGCAAAATGGCCTGGCATGGGTACGAGGTTGTCCTTTCACGTCGTCTTTCTCGAAAGCAACCGTTCGTAAGCTTTCGCAAACGTTTCGAGCAAAGACTCTAAAATAGTGGCAGTAATACTTTAAAATACAATTGCAGAATCTACTAATTCATCGTATAAAGGACCGGTCATAAAGTAACTGCTAGGGTGGGCCGGAGTGATTTGGGATGGGCCATGGAAAATATTTGGGCAGTTTCGATGGGCCGCCAATTATTTTGTATGTCTACGGTTGGGCCACCAAACAAAAACCCATGTCTAGCAGTTACTTTATAACCAGTCCCTAACATCGGAAATTTACCACTAATATCTATATGTCTTTATCAAAACTTGACTACAAAACGTCCAGCTCAGTTTTCCCGCCATATATTTATCTTGTCAGAAGACAGTGAACTCTAAGGGAACTGGAACGATAACTTGGCCGCCATCTTTGAAGCCACTCATGATGGGCCATGTACGTCTGGAGTGGAAAATACGCCACCGAAAAGACATAGCACTAAATAGTGCCCTAAATAGACATTGAGCACTAAATAGCTGTATTTCAACAAGGAGAAAAGCTAAAAACTTTCACTACAATACCTGGAATTTAATACAAAACAGGTTTCCAGAACGTAGAGCAGTTTTAAAGTTATTTTTTCAGGAGTCAAAGTGCGACGTTATTTTCGGCACGTTCAAATTTGTTTAATATTTTGAATATCAAGCTGTTACCCAGGAAGTTTTTGCTGTTAGTGGGTGTAAAATACTTAGAACTATCCAGGAAACCAGGTTTGAATCTTAAAGTTGAAGAAGCCTTTTGATAAAAAAGTACTTTTTCTTGCTGATTTTAGCTCAAAAACAAACTTTTGACTGAGTTTCCTGCTCCTCGAAACTCTCCCTAGTCCTTTTGAAAGTTAATTTATTGCTCGCTGAGCCTCGGAAGCGCCATCTTGGCTTCAGGTAAGTATATGCATGTTTATCTGCAGTTAGCGTTCCAGTGTTATTGCAGTTCACTGCCATAAGACAACGTCGCCAGGTCGTTACCAGTCCATTGCATCACACATCGATCGGCAGGCCTATTGCCGTTTCACCGCCCTATATATTAGATAGTTTAAGTTCGACTTCCGATACGAATACCGATACTAACAACATGTCACGCGCATGCTCTCTGCTCGCAAGAAGCACGAGGACAAGTGTATTGGAAGTCACCACTACCGAAGTCGGCCTTGTATTGGAAGTCGGGGGAATTGTAAGATAAACTCATATAATTCGGATATTTCATAATTTTTACGATAAACACGTAAACTATTTGTTTATTAGCATCGCCTGAGTCATGTTTTAGTCGGAATTTTAGCTCAGCTGCCGTTTAGTATACCGCACATTTTCGGTGACGATTAATGTGTTCTATTCTTTATCTGTCGTGATAACTTAACGCTTTAAAATTCCCGGTACCAAAATAAGAACGGAAGTGAAAACATCGGTATTGGTATTGGTATTCGAAGTCGAACTTAAACTCTCTGTTAGCGCCCTGGATTCTACCAAACGCCACATGTTTTTTGAAGTGCAACTACTAATACAGCCCGTCAAGGTCTAGTGATGTACCATGGAAATTCCCTCCCCCACCCCCTCTAAACCTACAGTAGGTCTTGGCGTGTAACAACACACACGTGCACATGTCAATATATCAACATCACAGCTGAAATTACTACATACGAAAGTAACTGAGCATTATCATGATCCTTTGTTTCGTCATTATTATCCAAGACATTTCTCTTGTAATTTCTGAAATTTGCCAATGTTGTACTGGAATTACTGACGACGGATATCTGATCACCACGTGTCCAGGTTTCAACCATTACCAAAGCAATGCGGATATTATGCACTTTGTAGATCTAAAGTGGTTTTTTGGTGTTTTTGTTTTAATGGGGTATACATGACACATACAGCACAGGCAGGGCCGGATTAACGTTTTGCTGGGCCCGTGGCATATTATCAGCGCGGCCCCCTTAACCCCATAATTTGCATCTATAATGTTTGAAGTAAAATTTGCATGTGCGTGAAAAGCATATATATATATACGTTTGATTATATAGTTAGCTTAAAAATGCACGTATAACAAAATACCAAGAAGATTGCGTAATTTTCGCTATTTCTTTATCCGAAGCGGTTTTGACCTTAAATATAGCATTTCTTGTGATTTTTTGTCCCTCGATATTTAACAGTCGATTTAGCCCCCGACATCTTAAGAGCGAAGGTCCACTAATATCGAGCATCAGCCGGTCACGCTCAAAGTTTCGATTTTGCTCATTTTTGGTTTGCAGGAAGGTATTACCAAGTAAACAAACGTGATGTAGTTTGTTTTTCAAAAAACCGCTTAAATTCTGAGAAATCCGAGAAAAACGATTCAACTGTCGGCGGCCTAAAAAATATGCAAATTTTCAATTGAATCAAACAGGTTCAAAAACAACTAACGCATGCAGAATTGGAAAAGATATGAAAACTGTACGTTTGTAAGTCGATGGAAGAGATGTTTGAGACTCGATTGAGTATAAAATCGTGATATTAACTATTAATTAAAACCAGACAGCTGATATTTAGAATCGTATGGTATTCACACATAGCTAAAATTACAATCTACCGTTGCCACGCCAAAACCATTTTAACTAAGTGCCCCAGATTTTTTCTACACGAAACGTACGCCATTAACTAATCAAATGTTCTTCTAGAACATATAAAAAAATTAGTCTGGGTTATTGCATTTAGAGTTCGTACGGAGGCCGTGAATATTGGGTATTTTCGACATATAGCGTGACTGAAATCTACAAGTGTTTTGTTCCTTCCGGAAGTTCCGGTCGCTATTTTCTCATAAATAGTTGCTATTTTCATCGGGAATTAAACCCGAAAATGCATTTCCTTAAGAATGGCTATTATTAGCAATTTACATGGTTTTAGCAGTCACAGCATTCTTTATTTAAGACTAAGTAGATAGTGCTATGACCGAGATAATTTCTGTATATTTCATACCGATTACATGGAGAGTTTTCAGCCTGGGCTGAATTTCAGCCGGGTAAACCGAGCCGAAATAGCATCACGTTTACATGGACAGTTTGAACCTGGGCTGAGTTTTAGTCAGAGCAATATTTATTCCTTGTAGTATTGAAACAAACCCAGGATGAAATGTCATTCCGGCCTGAAATCATACGATATCACGAAAGGCAATATTCCGCTTGTTTGAGCATTTAAAACGCCGATTAGTCGACTATTTGACTTGTGTAAGACTGTGGTTGCATATAAAGTATTAAAGATGAGACGAAACGCGAAATAAAGCCATTTAAACGATTGTTTTTTTTACCCCGGGCTGAAATTATTTGCAATTACATGGGATATTTCATCCCGGTTGATAGGGCTGAAAATCTCATCCTGGGTGACATAAACCGGGATGAAAATTTCAACCCGGCCTGAATTTCAGCCCTGTCAACAGGGATGAAATATCCCATGTAATCGCAAATAATTTCAGCCCAGGCTAAGAAACAATCGTTTAAGTGGCTTTATTTTGCATTTCGTTTGCACTTCGAAATTTTTTCCATGTAATCGTAAAATTCATATTATATTGAATTTATAGGGCCCCGGGCTGAAATTTCATCCCGGGCTGAAAACCTCCACGTAATCGGCCCCTTATTTTACTAAAGACAAAACTTAGCACATTTTCACTAAGCTATAAAAGAAGGATGACTTCGAAATTATTTTCAGTTTTTTTCATTTGTTAGTTTGCATGTGGTTTGGCTGAACATGCTCAGAGGACAGAGACAGAGAAATTGTATTCTCAAACTCATTAATAATTTATAAACCGAAAACAAAAGAAATTAATGTTTAATCAGTGTTTTGAAACTGGAAAAAAACTGTCTTCAAAGCAGGTGGAGGATTTGAAATCTCCCAGGGATCAGCGGGCCTGATTAAGTATTCATTTTCAAACTACTAGTAGTTTGAAATTTTTCAAGGTACTAGTATTTTTAAATTTTTCAAGGTACTAGTACACTGGAATTAATTTAAGGTACAGAATATTGTTCTGCCATTAACAAAACTATAAAGCAAAATTAAACACACTTTTGCACACATATAATAATCGTTAACTAATAACACAAATATCTCGCTTGTTCTGCAATCGCACTTAACGATTATAGTGATTTATTGATACACTATACAGTTGGATATATTCATGGGCGTACCGGAAGGAAAAAATTAGGGGGGCGGAAAGAAAATTGCCCGACTTTTCGTAAAATTGCCCGACTTTTCGTGATTTTGCCCGACTAGTACCAAAAAATTTTTCCCGGAAAATTTTTTTTGGCGACCCCCCCCCCGTCGCCAAAAAAATTTCGGTCAGTGTACCATTTTAGGGGTCAAAAAAATTTTCCGGACGTACCAAATTTTTCGCAGAATCACATTAATTTTCCCAAAAAATACATTTGCCCCAAAATTGACTAAATTTTTGAAAAAAATTACAGAATTTGTCCGATTTTTTTTTATAACATCCCAAAATTGCCCGACTATTAATCGAATATTGCCCGACTGCCCAAAAAACTGGGGGGGCGGCCGCCCCCCCCGCCCCCCCGCCCGGTACGCCTATGGATATATTGGCAGACTGAAACGTTTTCTTTTTAGGACTCGCAACCTGTTTGGCTTTCTCGACTGGTGCATGCTGTTGAGCAGTTCAATAAATAACAACGCTTGACTCGCTAGATAATCTTTCATAAACTCATCAAACTCAGAAATATTGTTTTCTGTCTTACTAACATTGCAGAGAACAATATATTGTCAGCCATTCGTTAAACAAGTTTGTACGTTAAGTTAAACAAGTTTGTCTTCGCTTTCATTCAACGCTTTCATTCGTTAAACAAGTTTGTCTTCACTTTGAAACTGTTTTCTGCCATGTCTCGCACTCTCGTTTACAACAATCTATACACGCTTGTCGCATGGCGTAGCATTTGAAGCATATAATTTTTAAGTAAAAATATTCATGCGTGAAACTGAATTGCATAATTGATGAGTTTGAGAAGCCAGTTCAAATACTCGACCTCGGACTTTACCGGGATTTCGAAGTCCTCGAGCATTAAAAAGGCTCGCCTTTTCAAAACGCTCTCGGACTTTGAAATGCCGGTAAAGTCCTCGGTCTCGTATTTGAACTATTACATAAAATTCAGAGGTGGTTAAATCTGAAACTTTCTGCTCAGTTTTATGGCCTTTTTCTCATTACATATTTCAGTTTGTTGGGTTTGTTTTTGCTATATTGCAGCTTGAAATCCTAAACACTTTTGTGGTGAAAAGTAAACTATCAGGTAAGAGCGCCGGTTTGTCTTGAGACAGCGATCGGGCGATGTAATTAACGTGTAAATTTCGTATCTGGAAAGTTTGATACTGCATGTCTAAAAATAGATCTTGCCAAGGTCTGGCCGTCATGGATATAAAGTGCTCCTTTTTCGCAATAGTTGTTGGTCATTGTGGCCATGATACCAGAGTTAAAAACAAATCATCAGAATGCGTTCAGTTGTTAAGTTGTAATCATGATATTACAGGGCATAAATCGGAAAACATTGAGCAATTCGTAATATATCCTGCACATCGTAATATATCCTGCACATCGATCTACTCTTGGAGCAGGGTGGAAACAGGCAGAAAACGAGAAATGTAGAATTCCTGTGATTCTATCAAATATTTCTTTACCACTATTTCCATTGTTACTAGAAACGAGATGATAGAGACAACAGTCACGACAGGGAAATCGGGCAAAACACTGCCAAACAAATTTTTAGGTACTTTATTGACTTTGATTGGCAGCAACAAAAATATTGTTAATGGATTCGCACGCAAATATTCCTAATTTTAAAACTGCACTAATTTTGCGAGATATAAACGGAACCAAAAATATTGTGATTGCTCTATCAGGAGAGTAAATTTAATCGTACAGTACGGTGGCGCGCGATCTCCAATCGTGTCAGTTCTACACTTGCTTCACCTGATGTTAGCTTCTTTAGAGACACTTCCTAAAAATGCTGTAACTGCTAAAACGCTGTGAGTTGCTAATAAAGGGTGCCTTTTTATTTTTAACGGCATTTTCGGATTTAAATTCCGAATGAAAATATAAACGAATGAGAAAATAGCGACCGGAAGGAACAAACACTTGTCGATTTCAGTCACGCTATATGTCGAAAATACCCAATATTCACGGCCTCCGTACGAACTCTAAATACAATAACCCAAACTAACTTTTTTATATGTTCTAGAAGAACATATAATTAGTTAATGACGTAAGTTTCGTGAGGAAAAAATCTGGGGCACTTAGTTAAAATGTTTTTTGCGTGGCAACGGTACATCGTAATTTTCGCTATTTGTGAATACCATACGATTCAAAATATCAGCTGTCAGGTTTTAATTAATAGCTAAAATTATTATTTTATGTCAAATCAAGTCTCAAACATCTCTTCTATCGACTTACAAACGTATAGTTTTCACATCTTTTTCCTGCTTTGCATGCGTTACTTGTTTTTGAACCTGTTTGATTCAACTGAAAATTTGCATATTTTTGAGGTCGTCGACAGCCGAACGGTTTTACTCGGATTTCTCGGAATTTTAATGGTTTTTGAAAAACAAACCATATCACGTTTGTTTACTTGCTAATGCCTTCCAGCAAACCAAAAATGAGCAAAATCGAAATTTTGAATGTGTCCGCGAATTCTCGATTTTGCTCCATTTTAGTGGACATCTGCTCTTAACCTCGAAATTTTACCCTCGCCCTCGACAATTTATTGACACTCGATCATCACTCAGACACAATGAGTGAACTTGAACTATAGAGGGGGGTTGACACCACCCTGAAAACATGTTGTCGGCAAAATAACGGATTTATCAGCAAATTGTTTTCGTAGTCAGCGAGAATATTTGATTGGCTGGGATAACAGTAATAGTTATAGCAAAAATGTTGATAAATTTAAGAAAATATTACCAAAAATATAACTTGAAATTACAGTACATCAATTTGAAAGTTAGTGAAAAATGGTATGTCCGGGAAAACTTTTTACC